GGTCTGTGCCCCGGTCCCTGCCGCACCTGCGGGGCTCCGAGCAGGCCTCCCTGCCCCGAGACACCGCGGGCAGCTGAGTGTTTGCGGCTCCGGCGGGGGGAGGGCATGGGGATGCTGCTGGCGAGCTGTGCGTTGGGGGAGTGCGTAGTGATGTGGAGTGTCTGGGTCGGGCAGTGGTGACACCCAAAGGTGTGGCCCTCTGGGGCTGGAGTGTCTTGGGTTGGGAAGCATCTGTATGCCTGTCCCGGAGGTGTGCTGCTGGGACAGTACTGGGAGTGCCTTCTGCAGTGGTCACTTCAGTACCTACCTGGGATGGGCAGAGGGCTCCCACAGAATTTGGTGTGCTGAGCACCCTTCTGCATACATGTCCATAACTGCATGGGTTTGGCCCCACACCTGTGCTTGCAAATGCTCAAGATGCTGGAAAGCATCTAGAAAGTCATGGAGGCAAGGGAAGGAGTGTTTGTATGGAGTTGGTGCACATCTTTTGTGGGCTGTTTAGCTCAGACGTTGCCTAGGGGGGAATGCACAGAGAAGGCAGTCCTGGAAGCAGTGTGGCTTACCTGGTCCAGGCTGGTACTGCACAGAAGTTTTCCTAGTGGCTTTTAGGTCTGGATTTACATGCAACTGGGATGAGCTGCCTGCTGTTTAACTTGACTTTCTTGTAAGCTGTGTATCCTGAGCCTGGAATTATCTGGTCTCACCAAGCCTGGAACTAAGGGGTGGCCCAGTGTAAGTGTAATCACATCCTCTTGAAGGGCTAAGACGTTTGTAGTGCAGGGGAGGGAACAAGTGTTCAATCCCAACAAGCTTCCTTTACAGATATACACAGTGTGTCAGCACTGCTAGTTACTGTGATGCCCCATTGTACCACTAAATCAGTTACAAACTTGGGATAATTTGGGTGTCTGCAGGCTCCCTATGCTTGTTATAAACTTGTATCATAGCAAGTTTAGGCACCAGCTTTTTCTTTTAATGCCTGTATAGAAAAGTACTACCCCCTCAAAGGCTCAGTAGGACTCAAGTAGCTGTTCTACTTGGGAAGAAAACATGTTTTTACTTCAGGCTTGTTTTCAGCTGCATAGAAGTTGTTGGGCTTGCCTGAGTCCTGCTGGGTTTTGGCTTACAGATCTGTTTCATGAATCTAACCAACCACGTGAGTGGACAGTGAGGAGAGGGGTAATGCCTGTTTAAAAACTTTTCTGATGTTCTGTGTTTGTAGACTCTGGTTTTGTTTACAAAGCTTTAGGCTTGGCAGGCATGCAGTCCTCTACACTGATTACCAATTCTCTTTCTTTACAGTAACAGGTCTTAGAAATGGTTACATTTACAGGCTGTGGGAAGTGATACACAGTACATAGTAGTTTCTGAAGGGACTAGACTGAAGTCCTAGTATTTAGTGTGTTTTATCTGGGCTGCCTAACTGCTGGTGTCTCAGATGACTTGGACAGGCTTTGAGGGTGTCGTGCCCTTATATATACACCCTTTAAATAACCTGGTGGCTATTAAACTCTTATAGGATGGAATGTCACCAGATAATTTCCCAGCATTAACTATTGGCACTTATTAACCACTGGATAAGAGACTCAACATTTTTTGAGAACTATAATCTGTGAGTGAATTTCAGTTTTTGCCTTGCTACTTCAACAATGATAACTGGAAATAGGTCAAAGATGTTTAGGAAGGAGGAGATAAGCATATCAGTTGGCTGAATTCAGAGCCGGAAGAAGGTCAAAGCAACTGCAGTAACATAGCAGAGAACGACAAGACCAGTTCCTTTCTGCACCAGTGAGTATGGATGTGCATTTTGCTGCTAAATGTGACATGTGGTGTAGCAGCTGAGGCTGTAAGAATGAATTCTGTATGGGCTGTTGACAGCCTCTGGTCTTGACAAACTGGAGTCTGTTTAAAACATACTTGAACACTTTGGAAAAATTACTTAAATTCTCCAGGTCAAGCACATGTGATGTCCTGATTTACAAGGAATGTGATTGGCAGTGCATCCAAGTTCTTGCTTGTAATTGATAGCCAGTAAGCTATGCTTAGTTCTGGAATGGTTGTTATATGGAATGTTGCAGAGTACTGTAACTATCACTACCTGCTGCCCAATGGTGTAAACTAGTGTTCTCAACCCCAAACATGGTTTAAAAGGGTAGTAAATATTCTTGTCAAAGTTAGACCTGTAAAATTGTTGTTCTTAAAGAGGAAGTGACTCTCTCCAAGATTCTCTGAAAATAATATGTCAGGAAAGAATCTGAGAAACCTGAGTCTGGCTGCCAGAGGCTTACAGTGGGAAAGTGCACTGTTAAAACAGATACTAATGGATTTTCAGTTTTGCACATGCTTTGATTGCAGAATGAAGTTGAATAATAGTGACTGATCCTACAATAATATAATTAAGTAGTGCTACTGATGTACTTAATATCATGACTATTACAATAAGCAATAGTGGTAGCAGAGACCCCAAAAGGAAGGTGAATAGTTAATACTTAGAAAAGAAACACATCTGTAAATACTAATACTACAGCACATTATCTTGTTTTTCATTGTTACCCCAGTAGAGCTACTTCTTTCCTAGGGTCTGAGTAAATAGTAAATAACCTCTGCTAGCAAAACACTTGCTTTTGTGTTATGGTCATGAACTATGAGGATGCAATCAACAAGTGTCAGGGCTACAGAAGGCCTTGAGCAAGAACCTGAGGTAGCCACATGCCCCAGGCCTGTGTGGCACCAGCCATACCTGCATCCATTCCAGCAGATTGTCTGTAACTCTTATTTTAAACTCCAGATGAAGATTCCAGCATGTCTCCCCCCAGGCTGTGTGCTTCAGTGTTGAACTACTGTGCGTTTCCTCTCCCTAATATCTAACCCAAATATTCCTCCCTGCAATTTAAGCCTGCAGCTTCCTGTCTTTGCCACAACAGACATGGAAAACAGATTCCCTTCCTCTGTGCAGCAGTCCTTGATGTATGTAAAGACTGTTCTGTCTCCTGTCACTTTTCTCTAGACTAAACAACCCTTAATTTTTTCCAATATTTCCTCACAGTCCAGGCTTTCTAGAGCTGATCAATCCTGCGGAATTAATTGGGACTCTCTCCAACTGGTCTCCTTGGTTATCCACTGGAAAACTCATTGTATGAATTAAGGCAACTTTGCCACTTGGCAGAACAGATTTTGCCACGATAAGTGGAGGAGTTCACTTTGCAATCTCAAATCTGAGTTTTGAGCAGGAGCTCAGGCTCTGAATAGTGGGAAGGCAACTGGAAGGATTTTAAAAGTCGGAGCAGCCTGAGGAGTTTGTGTGTTTTGCTGTGGGCTCAGCACTTCACTGCGGCGCCAAGTACAAAGAGCGATGGAACCGTCCAGGTGTCCCTGAGGCAGATCCTGAGTGTGTGTGAGGGCTCTGAGGGCACAGCCCTGTGACTCTGCCGAGGGAGGGAGGGAGGGGAGTGCCTGGCAGCGCTGGCTCTGGGGCCGCAGCGGGACAGACCCAGCGCGGTGACCTCGGGGGACACAGCCGAGCTGAGGGAGCAGAGGCACCGCCGCAGATCTGCCCGGCGCGAGCGGGAGAGGCTGAGGGACCGTCCCGCCCCGGCCATGCCGTGGAGAACAGCCGTCTCCCACACAGGATTCGCGCCGAACGCGCAGGGAAATGGGTCAGCAATGTTTCTGGGTCAGCAGCTGGGGGCTGTCCGAGGGGCCCGTGCGGTTTGTTCCACAGCTCAGCCCGCTGCACTCGCTCCTAACCCCTCCTGTTTCCCCGCAGATCTCTCTGAGGGCAAACGCACTGAAACACATTGAAAACAATCCCCTCACACACAATCTGCAGTTTACAAGTGTCCAACTTTCACTTGCAGGAACTCAAAAACAGAAGCTGATTTCAGCCTAGCCCAGAGCAGCCTGAAGGACCTGAACGCGCAGCTGGTGGCGAAGGAAGCTGACCTGGCAACAGCCCTGAATGAGAACCGAGCCCTGGTCAACCAGCTCCGTGAATTAAAGGAGCAAGTCGTCACTGTAAGACTTGCTCTTGGAATTTAAACTCTGCTTTTGTTCCTGCAGCTTTTGCTTAGTTTTCCCCGATTAGTTACTGAGGTTTAAAAGCAGGGAAAGCCCATTAACTGTGGCAGTAAGAGGCGGACGAAAAGATTTTCACAGTTGTGCTAGAAGCAAATGCTACTGAGGGTTGGGTCCTTAAAACTTGCAGCTGTTGTAGGCACCTTTAATTCTATCACCATAGTATGTAATTTTTCCTGTTCTAAGGTCAAAGCAAGCTGAAATGTGTAGCACTGTCTAACATGTCAGGGCAGGGAGCATTCAATGGACCCCACTTCCCTATGCATAAATCTAGGTGGAATAAGTAAGTTCTGACTACATTTTTTGTAGGTTTTTGTGCTACTGAAATGAACACTGCTCGAGTTGCTCCTCTATCAATGCATTTCTAAGAGCATAGCTTTTATACCTTCATGCTTTAATGTGATCACTGAATAAGCTTATTTGAAATCTTTGGGATGAAAATTTGAGAAAAACCCAAACTTGTATCCTTAAAGCAGCATACTTCAACACTGGAAGTGTATAATAGTTTGTCAACATAGACTATATTTGGAGGGTCTTAAGTGTCAAATTATACTGGAAGCTAGGAAGTTTGGAATATTTACTGTTGTAAAGGGGAGGAATGTATGTGGGATGGTACAACTGATTCATCAGAAGTCCACTTTGAGGGGACAAACTTAGCTGGTGGGATTAAAGGTTGCTCTGTATTATCTTGTGGGAAATGGATTCTATCTGTTGCTAATATGCTAGATCCTGCTCAAATAAGAACTTCAAGAAGAGTAAGAACTCAAAGAAGAATAAGAACTTAAAACTCAAGAGTAACCAACATCACTCAAGCAATGTTGTGGATGTTGTGGGGATGAAGTTGAATGACCTGTAACTTAATTAAAAAACTACCTCTTGATTGATAACCCTGTTTGTTATCTGTCTTTTCTAGATGAATATGTCACTGGAAGATACTAAAAAGCATCTCCATAGTGAAATGCTGAGGAGGGTGGATGTAGAAAATAATTTGAAAACTGTGCAAGAACAAATGGCGTTCCAGAATCTCCTTCATGAAGATGTATGTTTTAGTTTATTAAAAAGGAAGCTTTAGGTGTTCTAGGATGCACTAAAAAGCAATGTTAAGATGGGCTTTATCCTTAAAAATATAACTAGCTATGACAGCCCATGAGCCAATAAAATCCATCTAACTAGGAAGACACCAAGAAAGTATACAGCCTCATGTTAATTGGGGGGGTGCCAATAGGTATCTGGAATATGAAAATTATTCCAGATGTTTGCTTGAAGCAAAAAATAAAGAAGTGGAATCTCCCTTTAATAAACAACTTATGTTCCTTACTTCCTTAACACTTCTCAAAGGTGTCTGGTAACCTTTGAGAGAAGTCAGTGCACAAAACTAGAAAATATGTGAATGTAAACCAGCTTTTCTCACTGGTAGAAATCCATGGTTTGAGTGAGAGAATTCTAATTTCTCTAACCAACTGCTATTACTTTACCTATTCTTATTTTATTCCAAAAGCAACAGTGCTTAAAGAAACTGAATTGTATATGCATGTGTTCTAAGAAAACCTAAACAATCTATTTAGTTCAAAGAATGTCTTACAATTAAATATGAATTACTGTATTTATTAGTGTAAGTAATGTTGGCAGTGAGGTAGCAAAACAATCATGAGGAAGCTAAGCAAGGGGGTGTACCACACCTAATGGATGAACATCTAAGATCTGAATAAAGATGTGAGCACACAGTAATAATGATAAACCTGCTTCAGTAGTGAAGGACTTCTGAAACTGGTACACTAAATTCAGTCTCAAACTCTATTGGCTTCTTTATTCTCTGAGAAATTTCTTCTTCTAGGAGCTCAAGGAGGCAAAGAGAGTCCATGAGAGCAGAGTAGCAGAACTAAATTCTGGTCTTCAGAGAGAGTATGAAAGTAAGTTCTTGTCTGTTCTGCAAGAGCTCAGAAAACAACATGAAGAACAAATTCAAGGATACAGAGAGGAGGTGGAGCGAACATGCCGTGCAAGAGTGAGTTTGTAAAAGATGACACTAAGATGAAGCAAGTTCTCTTTACCCTGACATAATTAAAGTAACACCAGCATAAATAGCTGACTGATGGAGCCCTTGCATTCAGTGTAGAGCTTCTGGGCATATGTTGTTACAGGATTTCAAAGCAGTGTCAGATTTGACAATAGGATTTCTACAAACATTTGGTCCCAAGCAAAACTGGTTCAAGCATAAACACTGTCCCTTTGGAGAGTGATTAGAAATAGTCAATCCTATTTAAAACTTCTGAAAAATTCAGCACCAAGGTGTGCTATGTTTGTATTAATTAATTTCAGTCTTGAATAAACCAACCTTTTCTATACTCCGACTTACATGCCAACTCAGTGAATTCCTTTGGATGCTTCTGTTTCTGCTGGAAATTCTGTGAGTGCCTCTTATAAGAGCACTTTATCCTTCCTCATAACGTCTCAAGACTGAGCTATTTGTAGAGCAAATCAATGCTGCTTATAACAATGCAGGAACTGTTTAGTAATAGAACTTTTGGGGAAGAGCAGTAACAGTTTGATATGCACACCCAGTATCCTGCAGCTCTGTGCTTTGACAAGCAGCTTCTAAATATACTCTCCATTGTTCTTCTGGAGGATCAGTTTACTTAATATCTGTACAAAGTCCTCATGCATCTGAAATTTCCTAATCCATCAATTTTCACTAGCTGATTATTGCTGACTTTTTTTGACATAAATGTCAAGCTTGTGTAAACCTACCCGGAAAGCTATGAAAAACTTTCTGAAAGACTTTATTGGTATCTGCACACTTAAGTAAAACATAACTATTTCCAGATGTGACAGGTGAAAATCACTTGGTTTTCCTTCCTTATTTAAAATACATGGTAAGAGGCAACTCATTACTAACAGTGCCTTTTCCACAGATGGAGAATGCCAAGCTAGCTGCAGTAAAACAAGGTGAGTTTGCCCATGCTGCTCAGGAGGAGCTGATGGAAGCCAGGAAGAGAGCTGATAGTCTGCTATCTCAACTTAATCAATATCAAAGCAAGGTACTGTCTTTATTTGTATCACCTTAGAATTAGTTTAATTTTGATACTCAATTCAGAATACTGGCCTCTTGTCTCTAATCTTCAGCTATGATTTAACTGATTTTTCCCATCCCATTGATTTTAGACTGCTGCTATGGAGAACAAAATAAAGGAGCTACAGGACATGCTGGATTATGATCGTGATTTCCATCGAAGGCGTATAGCTGAAAAGGAACAAGAAATACTCCAAGTTCAGAAGCAGGCACAAACACAGCTGGAAGAATATGAGCATCTCTTAGATGTGAAACTGGCTCTGGATTTGGAAATAAGTGCCTACAGAAAGATGCTGGAAGAAGAGGAACAGAGGTAGGCTGTGACATGATCTTTGTCGGAGAGTTTGGTCCAAGGCTAACTGTATACGCTGCAGAATGTGCAGGAGACAAAAAACTAACATTAAGTATGACATTAGTGCCATAATTTAGTTATTGAATCATAATCTTCTGTAGATGGTATTCATCCTACATCTACCACATGGTATAGTATGAAGTAACTTGATAAACCTGACAAATTTCAAAGGTCCATTGGGCATTCCCCAGATTTCTGAGTTTTGTGCAACATCCTAGAGGTACACCAAAGACAATGCTCGAGTTCTATGAATGAAACTGGGAAACTGTATCAATTCTCAGCTATCCAGACAATGGTATCTTACATGCCTGGTGGGAACATGAACTCTCAATACATGCTAAGAAGGGCCAAAAAATTAAAGCTACTTTCAGTAAGGATTGTATCTGCAGAGACCTTAAAGGAATCCTTATTGCAGTTAGGAATCTTTTCTTATCAGTATAATCCTGCTCTGAACTCTAGGTCTGGGGCTGCCTTTCAAACTTAACAAGCTACTTAGCTACTCCTGCCAATAAAAATACAATCTTATACTCAAGACATCATGGAAAGCTTGGATATAGGAAGCTGTTAAGCTTGACTGTAGTGTGAGGATAGAAGTGAGAAGAAGTAAGTACATCAGATATTCAAGTGAATGTTACCTGACTCTCTTCTAGGCTAAACCTGTCACCCAGTCCATCCTCACAAAGCACAGCAACTCCAGCAACAAGTCAAGGGCGACGGTTCCTACACGGGAAGAAAAGGAAACTGAAAGAAACCAAAAAGAGAGAGCTTGGTGCTGCATTTGAGACTATTCAGCATGCTTCAGCCTCTGGAAATATATCTATTGAAGAGATTGATGCAGATGGGAAATTTGTCAGGCTTAAAAATAACTCTGATGAGGTACTTCTGGTTTTAAGTCTGCATAACCTTCATTGCAAAGTACAACTGTTTGTGAACTGACTTGTAGCTTGGTGACAGACTAGACTGAATTTTTTGGTACTTGTTGGGGTCCTTGCAAGGGACAGACTACAGCACACCAATATGATGCCCTGAAAGCCAACTTTATTTAAGGGCCTAACAGTATTTATAGTAAAATGTCTCCTGTATGTACAGCTACATGCTGATCACACAACTTTGGATTGGTTGCTCAACTTGTCAATGCGTTCAGTTCTTACTTATGATAGGTTACAAGTTTAAGCTGCATCCTGCTCTCACATCCTGGGAAACTGACAGCAAGAGCTACGCTACACAGTTGAGAATCTAAACAGCAGCACTATTCTTAAGCTTGTTAGCAAAACGACTTGACTTATCTATAAGGCAGTTAAACCAAAACCAAACCTTAAAACCCTGGAAGCAGGAGAGAACAAGAGCATTATAAAGTGTTGGATTGAAGAACACAGGAATGCATGAAGATAGAAACAAGATCACCAAGACCTATTTTGCGTGTCTTGTTTTTAATTGCTTAAGCATTCCTTTAACTGTTGGTTAAGTTACAGCTCCTCTGCTAGCCAGGCCCCCAACAGATACTGCAGGTGTTCTGTCACAGGACTGTCTGGGAGGTCCAATGGGTTCTGTTATGCTGAAATCTATCTAACACCTTCAGCTGTCTCTCATGGATTCAGGCTTCCACTATCAGAAGTACTACTTATGCTTGATGAACTAAGTAGGGTTTGCTACTCAAAACAGCTAACAAGTTGAATACAGTTTACGATATCTGATCCATGCAGAGGGTTTATCTGACCAATTAGCTAATTCTTTGACTAATCTGCAAATCTAGAATGATTAGAATTAATCATCAGGGCTTGAAAACTTGGGGCTGGTAGTTTAGCCACTTCAGCCCAAGGTACCTTAAAACTTCACAGGCCACTGTATTTTTACATGTATGGCCTAAGTTGGTAGGTGGGCATGGCAAACTTCACTTGTCAGAATCTTGCTAGTATAGAGCATCATGATCCCCCTTCAACAGCAGGCAAGAATGGGTGTGACTTGACTTGTGGAACTAAATTTCATCCTAAGGAAGTACAGGGAGAAAACATAGAGAGGCTTTGATGGAAACTTGAAGGCTTCCTCAAAATTGGTCAGATTCTTGCATGCTACAGCTGATCTGTGAGTCTGGAAAGAAGCTTGCATTTGCATCATATGGTGTTGATCTATAATGCTGAGAGAAATTTCTTGTTCCACAGGATCAGCCACTCCATGGATGGGTGCTGAGGCGACATATTGGAACTGTGTCAGATGTTATTTACAAGTTTCCTTCACGGTTCATTCTTCAGGCAGGCCAAGTAGTTACAGTAGGTAGTGGTTTTGTAAAACTCAAAGGTCTGTTCTTGTTATGTTTGATGGCAATAAAGATTCTTGTAATATAGAAAACTAAACTGATACTTCAAGTGCCTAAAGAACTAAAACTCTTATTTTATGTGCAGAGGGGTATGGGGAAAAATCCTTGCAGCAACTTGATCCAAAATGCCAATTAAATTTTCTTTAAAGCTCTGACTGAACTTGGATCATCCCAGATTGGGATGTGCTCTAGTTGTGAACAGAGTCAATGTATTGTAGTTTATTCTTAAGGTTCTTCATACTCCTGTGACTTGAGAAAAGCTGTGCAGAGACTTACATTGTTGCTAAAAGCTTTAGTCCACTACAGTTCAGCAATGCTGAGCTCATGATTTACAGTGCTAAGCTAAATATTAGCTCTAAAATCATACTCTTAAGTACATTTAGATAGCAATCAAAACTTAACTTTACACTCACTACTCCAGCCTCTGGGAGCTTGTTGAGGAGATCTGTGAGTGAGCCCAGGTGAGAGGTTATCTTGTACACACAAATTGCTGCTAGGAGCCTGTGACTGTGGCTTGGCTCTGTGACTCAGTGGTTCAGCTTCTGTTTCTGGTTGGAATACTTGATAGATTAGGATTCAGTCTAACATATATAACTGCACAAAAAAGAGTCTTCAGAAGCTCACTCTAAATGTGTTGCAGATATGGGGTGCAGCTGCTGGTGCAAGCCCAGGTCCTAGTGATCTCATCTGGAAGTCTCAGAAGTCTTGGGGAACTGGAGATAATATTGATGTTACTCTTATCACAGATGATGGTGAGGTAAGTGAAATAAGTATCTTCTACTGTCCTAATATTAAACTTGTTTGTGCTTAATTCCTGAGGGTTCTTGGTTGCAATTCAATTGTGTTCTAGGAACTCGCAGAGAGGAAGATAATGCTTGTACCCAGAGGAGAAGAAAGCAGTGAGCTAGATGATGACTATGAAGAAATAACTGGCAGCGAAATGGAGTTTGCATCTCAGGTAAGCTGCCTAAAGTTTAAATATGTTCTATCAGTAGAGTCATTCAATGGTCATTTCTTTTCCTTATTAAATGAAAATACTTCTTCATGTACTATTCATGTCTTGAAACTCTTAATGTTTTTCTTGATGTCAGACCAAAAGAAGAAGAAAAAAGAAATGTTGTTTGGTGTCATGATAGTGGTCCCTGTGAGCATCCTTAAGCAGGTGAGATGGTGAGACTCATGCTTGTCATCTCATGGAAAACTTGCTTCATAATAGTGCTGCAGTCTCTTGGCCCATGTAGGATGTAGCTTGCATGGCTTTGCATCAGAAGTGCAATTGGTGCTTTGCTTATTCTCTGGTTGAGTGTGATCAAATTGTAGCATTTAATTATTTGATCTCTCATTACTAACACACTGAAAAATGCAACCTTTAATGTCTATTTCATCTGAATATCTGGCTATGAATTAACTTCAAACTGTTATCCCAAGAACAGAATGCAAACACTATTTCTCTGGGATGAAGTGACTTACCTGACACTCCAATGCCCCTGACTTGCTCTTAAGAGAATTTTGTGTGAATTTAAGTTCAATATACTTCCAAACCTTTGGCTACAAACTTGCATGTTGTCATGCCCTGTGCAAGACTCTCCAGCCCTTTCACGTGGCTTTTGATCTTATTACAAATCTGAACTCATTCACATTGGCTACTTCTACTGTGCTTTGATACACTAGTAGTCAGCTATCTTTAAGTGCTGAAGTACTCTAGGACAACTAATATAAGGGCTTTAAATTGGTCATAACTGAACAATTATAGACTGTACTTGACTCAAGTTAGTTTGTGTCTTGACTTGAAATAGCACCATGTCCCGTTGCTAGTAGGAACTTCAAGGCCTGAAGAGCAAGGAGATGCCTAGCTGAAAACCTCTCTCCCTCTTGCCACCACATCCTGCTGAGCTACCTTCCTAAAACTGATCACAAAAACTACACAGTTAAAAGGAGGAGTTGCATCTTACTGCACTGAGTCTTAAAGCTGCCACCACCATTTCCTAGATAATTTCATAATATATATGTCTGAAAACTAACTTAAAATCCCTTAGCCCTGTCTTTCTGAAGAAAATGTACCTAAGAACCAAGAGCTACTGCCTGCTGCTTGGCTCTTTTCCTTCTTTCAAACAGAAACTCTGGGTAAATACCTGTTACTGCAAGACCATCTGGCTTAAAAGATGTTTATCAGTCTCCTGACCTGCATGCACATTCTTGTAATATTTTCAGTCTCTCACTGAAGGAGGGCAAGGCCCTGTTAAATAGGCTATTGAGAAAGGTTCTATTATGCTGTTCTGCCCTTTGGGTTCTTAATGCACAGCACACACCAAAATGGTCAGTGTAACACACAGGGAAGCTATAGGCTCATGAAGACATACAAGCTGCTTTTCATATTCAAAGTAGAGTCTCTCCTCAAGTTATTTTAAAAGGCTTGTTTTTGTTTTTTTTTGAGCTCACTAATAATACGGCTTGTTCGGTAAACAATTATGGAAAGTGAAAGTAATTTTTTCCTTACACCTCTAGTCTACTTTATCAGCAACTTTACAATACAGTTATGTGACATTTATGGTAAGAATCAATTATAATACTTCCAATCAAACGTTAATGTCATTCCTGTAAGTGAATTCCTATCAAACTTGTGACATCAGTACCTATATGCTTCTGCTGCATTGGTAGTACTGAAATGGCATCTTAGTTACAGTTGACTTCTTGCATGCAGTGGAATGATGCATGCTGTGCTTTAAAGGAAGACAGGCCTTCCATGCTTTCTGCTTCTGCTCTTACCATCCTAACTAGGGCAGCATGAGTCTGCATGCCAGTTCAGTTCTGATGCTTTGAAACAGAGGTAGTGATGGATAGCTTTACAGCCCTTCATTAGGAAAGGCACAGGCTCATGTAATGCATGGACTCCAATTCTTAAAAGCTTTTGTAGTCTTTCTTCCCCACCCCAAACCATCTAGAACACTCACATACTGCCTCTCTTGAAAACCTGCTTTGCTTTATTAATAACTAAGTTTACAAACCACTAAAAACCCTATATACCTATATGAGAATCAAGTAGGTAACCAGCAATAAATACTAAGTCTGTACACATGCTAATTAGCCTAATGTCTTCATGTTTTCTTTCTGCAGCAAAATGAGGAGTCCAGATGTTCTGTCATGTAATGTGGACACAGAGACAGCCACCTGATAACACCCTTCAGTCCCAGGTGACATAGACTGTATGTGTTTTGGTATCTTCTGCAATATCTGGAAATTGGAATTCTCATCTCCCATCTGATGTCCATAACATGATGGAATTTCCTACCTTCTGATCCTGGACCCTGTCCTTGGAGTCACAGATACAAAGAGCAGTAGAATACAAGCTTCATGTGAAGTTATTTTTACTTTTACACAAGGATCTGGTTTCTATGACCTGCTGAAACAGAGGAGGGTTCAGAGTTTACAAAGCTTCTATACATGTGCCCTGGAAGGGTGTTAAATACTTGACAATGACCAGGAGGCTGCCTCAGCTTTATCAATATTCTGATACAGTGTTTCTCCAAAGGTAATTTCTCTTTCAAGCCTGAGTGGGAAACTATGACAGATCACACCCTAGCTTGTACCTTGAGCAAGTGTGAAGTAAAACACTAATCTCTGAAATGTTTCCTGCTCAGATCCTGATGTAGAAATATATTAAACTGGTCTAGATCACTTGCTAGAGAGAAACACTTCTTAAAATTAGAAGCAAGTTATAAAAAATATTCCTGCCTGTTAATAAATGTACTGTTTGTATATTCTAGTACCTGGGAATCCTGCCATTTCAGTATTGTAGATTCTTAGTGTATGACAGCATAGCTGTGCCAACCTTAACTTGGACAAATGTATCCTGTAAATGTGAAAAAGCATCTCTTCCTGACCAAGAAGATCCTGTGATGAGAGCTGATGGCACTGTTTGAATGGCCCAAACAACAGCTTTCTAAGGGGCTAGAAAGGAAAACATGCTGAAGCAAAAAACTAGAAAGCACCAGCTGTAATGAAAGATGCACTAAAGTAGCTGTACTTGGAGTCTTTACGTTCTCAGTCTCTGTGCAGCCTGCAGCACTGCTTTGTGTATGTCTAATGGGGCAGCTGGGGGAACACTCTATTGGCCAGTGTGCAATTCCCTGTAACTTCACAAGCTCTGTGGTCCATGAAAAGCCTGACCTGCAACCATCAGAAACCAGGCAGTCAGCCTCTGGGCTCCCTGCATTCAGTCACTCTGCCTCCCTTCACTAAACCCCTCACCTGGTGCAAAGGGTGGGCCTTGCTGAGCCACACCAGGTACACTTCTACTTAAGAGCAGGAAGGGAGCAGCTGAGACTGCAGATTTCTCCAGATGCTGGAATAGTGTTTTGACTGTCTTTTACCTTGCCAAAGTGTTCAGTTCTGAATTCAAGGTTTCAGGTGTTAGGGTGAGGCTTTCCTTATGCTAGCTTAAACTCTCTTGCATTATTTAAAAGTTCTAGTTTTGAGACAGCAAGAGTAGGTGCTGGTTTTAATACTTGCATTTTAGCAGACTAAATTCTTGTTCTACCTAGAAACATAGAAATTGCTGTCATAATGTTGCTATATTTATTTGGATTTCTTAAACTTGACTACTGAAGATATTTTTCATGTGTATAAAAGCAATATTGAAACTGAATATTTGCAGATTAACTAATAAAGGTCTTTGTGCATTGATTTCAGTTGAGTGGTTCAAAAGACTTTATAAGTAATAAAACTGGTGAGTTTTTAGGGACTACAGTGATGAAACCCTCAGAACTATAGTCTGCTCCCCTGTTGGTCACTCACTTCTAATAATGATGGACTTCTATGACCTTGATTTAAGAGGAATCTTCAGTGCATCAAATAAAACCTCTTCATAGCACAAGGGAGGGACAGTGTTCAGTAACAGCACTGAAAGAACAGAAGTAGTGTACAAGTCTTGATAGGAAAGAGCAGCAGCAGAAGATGCAGTTTGGTAAACATCATCAAGACCTGCTTATATTTACTCAATTCACAACCTCCATGGCAGTTTATGAAGCTTGTTCTTAGCCAGCAATGTCTATAAAGGCATGTAGTAAAGAACCAACTCTGATGTGCAATGGATTCTATTGTGCAAATTGTCTTTCTGGTAGCAAACCATAAAGATAGAAAGACCCCAGGACTATGTAAACTATGTAGTTTACCTTAGTTGATAATACTATAGAGCCCTTGCCTTCCTTCCAGCTTACTAATATCGCATTTGCTACTTCTACTGAGCCATCTACTGCAGCTGACCAGGACCTCTGGCCTAAACTGCCTGCTGCAAAGTGTATCAAGAATTCAAATGCTGATGTGTGTGCATATGCAGTTCTTTCCTCTAGGGAATTCTGGTGAGGTGAAAGGGAGACTTCAATACCTCTTCTTGCCTGCTATGGAAAAGTATGACTGGTGAGACCTCTCTTTTATAAATGGAAAAAAAGCAAAAGCAGCTGTGAATCCCAAATACTTAAACCTGTGTAAGTCTTCTCATATTTTATAATCAGAGCTTCATAGCTACTTTCATTCAAAAACAGGACAGGACAAGTTTCTTTACATAGTGTTGCTCTAGTAACTACTAGGAACTTGCCCCTGACTTTGGAAAAGGGCTAGATGAATGTTCTCCTTTGCATGAGCAAGCATGAATTCTGAGATGATGTGCCCGAAGCAGCAGGCTGTTAGCATGAGCTGTGAAGGATAACCCTCCTCTTCTATTGTGACTATTGTGCAAGTCAAGGTCAGAGCTGAAACCACAAAGCTGTGGGTTTGAGAGCCAGTTTGGGGCTACTGATGCTTCTTAAATGGAAAAGTTACTGCACCTGTTACATACATGAAACTCTTTCCTCTCTAGGGAATGCTGTTTCAACTGGACTACAGAACCAAGTACAGCTTGAAACTCTGAAGCTGGAATCAAGACACTTTGCCTATAAAGAATTCATCTCTCTTCTCATCAGTTTGTTTTGTATAGAGAGCAATTGGCAAAAGATTGCATGTTCCTCTGGGGCTGCTGACTTTTTTAGTCATTACTCCATAACTAAGCAAAGCAGGAGAAGGCCAACAGAAAAATTAATAATCCTATTTTCATTTGGATAAGTACTTGAGATGTCTGAATCTGTGCTTCATTTTAAGGGTTTCTGGCAGTTTTAGTTAGTGCATGTCTTTCCCTCTCCACCTAGTCTTCTTTCTCCTCCTTTCCATCCCTTTCAACTAAATATAAAAACTAGAAGTGTATTGACTTTTCAAATGTTTGCAGTAGGCACCAGTGATACTCACCTATTTCTCTCACTAGAGTTCTACACAAACCCTGTGGAACTAGGATTGTATTTAGTTCCAAGAAATTTGTCTCATCCTCCTGCTAGAAAAAAAAAGTTAACAGACATTATAACTGCTAAACAATCAGGAGAGACATAGCAAGATTATTAAAATTCCAGTGCCTTGAGGTATCACAAAACTAACACTTTGTCTTTACTCATGCATTTTTAATGCAGCATTTTTTTCTTCACTGAGAGCTGATGCATGCAGCAAAAGTGACCTCCAGCTCAAAAACAAGTGCCAGAACTATATGAATAGAAGCAGCAACCACTGTTCTTATCCCACAGAAATATTTATTCAATTGGGTCAGTAAATTATAGGAATTTCAATGCTGAGAACTTGTACTTAGTACAACATCATCATAATATTGACAACAACCACTTTGCCTTTTGTCAACATACAATGTGAAAGATGTAGTAACTTGTTCACAATAAATTACAATGTGATAGATGAAAAGAGCTCAATGACATCAGTAACTCAGGAACTGGTTACAGTTAGCTTCACTAACAGTATTTTTAAAAATGGTTTTCAATAGTAAAATCATTGCAGCCAAAGATAAAAAAAAATCCACATACAATAACAGCAAGGAAATGCATTTTTGGAGCAACAGTGAGCTACCAGTAAACACTCCATACAGTGATCTTCAAGGCACAAAGCAAAAAAACTGGGTATGGGTTTTTTTGCAGGTTGACAAATCAGGGTAGGTGAAGTTTTTTGGAATATAAAATAAATACATTTTAAAAAGACGCATACAAAAGTCAGTAAGTCAGTCAAATAGCAAGGCTTTCACAGAATGCCACACTGACAGAACATTTGTGAATCCATTTCAGTCATGAAATCATGTTCACAGCTTGAATGACACAATCACTGAGGCAAGGGAACTATCACTTCAACATAATTAATGGGGAAGAAGCCAGACTCTCCACTCAGCATCCCCTCATACCAATTCTCATCAATCTGATTGGTCAGAGTTATGATGTCCCCTTCCTTAAACCCAAGCTCGCCTTCATTTTCTGGCTCAAAGTCATAGAGAGCTTGGCAGCAAGGCTGATCCATGTGCACTGAAGAACCTGTCCCAGTGACAGAAAAAAACAACCATATTAAACAGAGCTTCACAGCATCCCACCAGCCACTAAGCATGGAGCAACAGGTCAAAAAACGCAGCCCTGCTGTCACAAATTCCACCCCAATGGTTTTTCCACTGCTTTCACCCATTAACCTCTGGTGCTTCTGCATCTAAAATAAAATACTACTGTTAACTAGTTTAGAGTATAATTCTGTTTCTCCCTCAACTTCAGATGTTCCTCCATTTTCATTCCTAATTGCCTTCTCTTTCCAAGGGATAAAATGATGTTTCTCTCCAACTGCAAGTTTGAGTAATCAGTTATGAAAATCAGTGTGGTCTCTTTGGAGCAGTGGCTAGAGGAATTGGAAGGAGTTGAGGAAGCAGAAGAATCGACAGGAGAAATGACAAGGAATCATTTAAACAAGGTGCACTAGAGCACACTGCCCCGGCACAAATACCCACCAGAGTGCAGGGGCTCTGAGTCCCCCTGCAGACACACACCTGCAGCCTGGAGGCAGCCACCTGCATTTCCACACTCCAGGTGCCTCTGCAGGAACAAGGCTTCCAGCCATGCCTGTGTTAGGGCTTCCACCTCACCTCACTTGAGCAGGGACAAGTAGTTCTGGGTCACTGCTCCCCAAGTTTGTGTGCTTAAATCCTTTGCTGTACATATTCTTCATCTGAGCTAAAGCAAAGGTTGTGCTAGGAACAAAGGTGCCTGTCAAACTATTTGAGGGACAAAAATTTTTTCCAATACATTATCTGGCTGTTCGTGTGACTTGCACTGTTTGCCCTGCTATAAAGATCTTCATTCCAAATCACTCTTTTAAAATAGTAATGGTACCATATGCAAATGTAATAGTGAACACAAATACGTACAGGAAAACAAGTTAATACAAAGTATAAACCAACCATCATTAGTAAAAGCAGTTCCCCTTGTAAATGCAGTCACCATTTGAAAGATACTCTCCCAAAGGGGTGGGAATTGGCTTGGATTTGTGGTACAGATCCATATGTAATACACTCATTTATATTCATGAATAATAACTTACAAAAGGTTATGTTCAAATTGCAAAGCTTAGCTCTGTGGCCAAGGACTAGCCAGAGGTTCAACTGAAGTTCAGCCATAATGGATTTTTAAAAAACATATATATTATATCCAAGTAAAAGTCTGGTAATGTGAAATACATTTATAAAGGAATAGGATAAAAGATTTCATGCTGCTGCCATGTAAACAGTTATAAACACCTTGTAGCATGACAAGTCCAGAACACTCTAGTCCCCATATTAAGCAGTCAAACCTCTTAAATACTAAGTTGGTCAGGTTGTCTTACTTTAAATATTGCATGATTAGCATGTGGGATGGCTGGGAGAGTCAAGACTGGAATATTTGAGAACTGTTGCAATCACCTTGAGGAATCATTTTTGACTGGGTAAATCTACACACAACTGGTAATACAATACAGACCTAATAGCTAAAATGGCAAAAATGCATTTTAATATGTTAATCTTGGCAATGTGCAGGAAACTATTGAAAAGTAACTGTTCAGGCATTTTCTAGTTAAAGGAGTTAGGAGAAGTCCCTTAAGGAAAGCAGCTGACAACAAATCTGGTGATCAGCCAATGAGAACAGACAGGTGAGAGCATCTTTTTAACTGGCAATAATCAGGGGCAATATCTGGTGTTAAAACTAGGAAGTCAAAATTACTTTTCTATTTTGTGGCTATGTTGTATTCTCTACAATGACAGAAGAGAGGTTTTATTGTAACAATGGAAGAGAGCAGCCAACACAAAGATCCCTTGGCAAACCTCCCCAGAGCTGTGTGGTCACAACTCCAGACTTGTCCTCTGCCTGTGGGAGGCTCAGCATAGTGACAAAGTTTTACAAGATCTAACTAAATAAGGGCTAGTCTAATACACCAGTCCAGGTGAAACCAGGTTCTGGGCATATTTTTGCTGAAACAGTCCAAGGAGATGAGCCAGTTTCCCAGCAAAAATGGACTGATTGTGTTTAAAATGAGCCCAGTTATCTACAGTCTTTGCCAAGGTAGAACTGGCACAGCTCTCTGGAACTGCCAACAGCAGAAAGCATCGCTCAGAATAATTGACAAAAGTTCCTCACTTTCATCAGCTGCTCTGATGGGGTTAATTTATTATTGCAAGCCAGTTAATTTCTGACAGGAAGGTACCTGATACTAGATGGATCGCATTGGTTCATTTTAAGCTCCAAAGAACTGAAAAGAAATGTCTGGCAGCCTGGAAAGATTGTTAAATAATGGTTACAGCTAATTTCATTCCAGGCTGTAGGATCAGTCAAAGTCTTCATTAGAGTCAGGCAGCTGCTGCTACTGTGTAATCCAATGAGACAAAGCTTCCCCGACAAAGGTAACAGGGGCAGCACTGACAGTCTGCAACACACACTGCTTAACATCACAGAACTGGTGGCACCATTCCAGCCTTTTGCTGTCCATTAAGTACTTGCACATCCGTTGCAGAGGTTTCAGCTAAAGAAATTGCACTCATTCCTTGAAACAGAGTTTATGTTAATGTGCAACTCCATGCACACCTCTCCTTTATTTCTCTAGTTGTGGAGTTGAACTGCCACACTTCTCTGTCACATTCAAAAAAGATTTGTCATTAATTTCCAGAACACTCAGACCTGGACAGCACAAAACTAGGTTAAGCAAGAAGCTGTCTGTGATTTCTGGAGTGTTAGTGGATGAAGCCAGAATGCCATTCAGTGATGGGTTGGATTTTTGTTTGCTTGTTTTCCCAAAAGGGAGTTACTGCCTGTACCAGCATCTACTCTGTCTTCTGTACCACACTGCATACATAAGGTAGCAAGATTGTACTTTAATAATCACAAACTGGAAGCTTGCTAAGGTAATTAATCCCAGTCTCCCTCATAGCTGAAGTGAGTAAACATTTAGATGCTTATGTTAAATTCCAGCACGTGGCCACCAGATCCATTTAGTTCATATCATAGTCAAACCTGACAAATGAGTGAAAGACATGATGTAATACAGCAACTAAAGAGTTCCAAAATGAGCCAGATGATGCTCACAGCTGCAGCTGATTAATGGGGATAACAATGAATTAGAACTAAAATACAGAATTTTCTGTGTTTACTCAAAGCAGCCAAATAATTCACAACATTAAAGTTAGGTTTATGTGAACCCAGCCCTGCAAGTGTGTGCATGTCATTAGTAGCAAATAATCCTCATGTGTTAGAGACCATACAAAGGGAAACAGTATTTTTGCTCCAACAAGCTGATACTTGAAAAATTATCGTGAAACACAGGGAAAGCCATTTCCACACTCAGAACTGCATTGTGGCAGTTGTGCTGAATGTATCAGAGCTTACTGTGAACTGTCCTGTAGATCTCCATGGGGTCACTGAATACCAAGATGCTTCTTAGCTTGAGCGACAGGATCATAAAAATGAAAGATCTATATTTTCATAGGGTCAATGTGCAAACAGGGAGAATTAAGCACCAAAGTACTTGTTTGTGTAGGATGAAGAGGTCAGTTTTCCAAAGAAAAACAGGGTGATCATAACACTATCCCCCATCACATGGAGACCTTAAAACATTTAGCAGTTTTGCTTAGAGCTGCCTGGTTCACATTTCTAAATCACAGACCATTAATCTGATCTGTTTCATGATTTGGATTTTAAAAAGAGACAGAAAGGTTTCCCCATTTATGAGCAGGACATATTGACCTTGCTGCAGTTCCACAGAAATCCATATAGACAATTTTTGAGTAGGAATAGGAAAAGAAAAAAGAAAGAACAGTGACCTCACTGATTTTTGTACCTGCTGGGGAAGTAAGCACAGCATCCACAGCTTCTTCAGGAAGGAAAAAACATGACACATGGTGTTTCTGATGTTATCAGCAACACTAAGCATGGCAGCAATTATTAAATATATCTCATTTCTCCCTTTCAATCTTTTTCATGGTGGTTTTATTTCTTTTCCATTCTGACAGCACTGAGTGATTGAAGCAGCAAGTGACAACTCCTCACCTAGTGATATGCAAACAGTTGATGCAACAGTCCATGAACGGAGTCAGTGAATTAAGTGGCTCACTCCTTCCTCACCTTAGTGGTCATTTATTTTTCTGTTCATTCACTGAATTTCAGCTCATTAAAACTGATTTTCCTTTAACTAAGTGGGCTGGAAGCAATCATGAGAAGTCATCATCTCTTTCTCCCAAAGGCAGGATTGATTACCCTTAAAGGACATCTTGGATCAATTGCTTGATGGCAATGATAAACCACTGTAATGTGGTTTGACATATTCGTTTATATACAGATGCTGAATCTGAATCTCTTTTTCTCCATCACAGATGCAAAGCAGAAAAAAAAAGCCTATACAACTTGATAAGTAATTGATAAGGCCTAGAAATTTTATGCTGAATTTTTAATAAAGTTGCTATGTTTTTGCTACTTTCATCCAGGTGAGCTGTGAAAATAACTAGGAAGTCATTGATCACTGCAAACATCTCCAGTGCTTGGAATGAAATGTGTCCTTGTACCACACCAGTGGTCTGACCTGAGAGAGTGTGCAGAGGGGGCTGTCTCCCTCCATCCCACATTCAAAATACACACAAAAACTGCTCTCAGCATTCAGGCAGTATGGGGAGCTTCAAATAAATCAGGGAATCAGATCTTGCTGGATAAATTTATGCTGCCAAACTGCTGCAAATCTCCTTCAGTGTGTATTGTATCATACCTTCCTCTTGTAGCCGAGTGCAAGAAAATTAAAGAGACATTAGAAGGAGCATGAAGCTTTATTCTTTCACACTTAATTCTCTAATTTCTCTCCCAACAACCTATAAAATGGAACAAGACTGGAGGGCAGAGGAAACTGGAGAGTTGGGGAAAAAATAAAATAAAAACCTTCAGAAAAAGATCCTAGATACAATGCCAAGTAGAGAAGGGAACCTTTGGCTCACTGCTTCCCCTCTATTTTCCTTACAAATAATGTTTATGAAAAGATTTGGCTTTTTCATTCTCTTTTCTTTGCATAGTGTCATCTTTCATTCTTAGTTTTTTTAGGTTTCTTTTTGTTGGTTTGGTTTTTTAATTGGTCTTATCTCATCATGCACTGTAGTCATTAAGGAGGTGGGCAAAATAATTTTATTCATGAGATGAGGAAAAGCTATTTCCATGAGTCCTGTAAGCCTATTAATTAACACTATTCATACAAATGTCAACAGCTGATTTTTTTTGTGTGGAATCAGGGCCTAATCAAAGGAAGGGATCCTACTCCCACACCAAAAGGTACCTAAGCACTTCAGTTCATTAATGCTATGCTTTGGTGCATAATTTAGGGGACAGTGAAGTAAAAGATGTTACTAAAATCAATAAAGGGTGAGAGGCAGCTCTTTGAATTTTACATAGCTAATACTTAAGATCCTGTACTGATCATTTATGGTCTCAGACTGCAGAGAAAAATTAGCACCCAGAGATACTCCAGACAGTGATCAAACACACCCACCTAAGGCATCTGTCTTTGCAAGAAATGAACTGTTTTCTGCAAGTGCTTCTCCCTCTCCTCCCACCCTCCGTGGCAATACAGAGAACCTAACAGACCAAGCAGAATGCCACATCTAATTTCAGATGGGTGAGAGACTGCTGAGAGGAATCCTGCTTCACAATTCCATTTCCAAATCTGGACAACCAACTGGAGTCAGATGTATGGATTCTGATGTCTCACAGATTCATTGTTCTCATGGTACAAGGAATACCTCAAGCAACAATCTGTAAAAACATCTACAGACACATTAACTCTGTGGTGACAGACTTACCTGATGATTTTATGGAAGAACTATAGGCAATCCCATTGTGCTGCTGATTATCACCAATTTCCAGAGTCGTAGTTATTACAGGCTTTGGCTTAAATTCACGTTTCGGCCGACTAGATGCTACATTTATTCTGTAACACAGAGAAGAGTGGCAAGAGATTTACCTTGAAGGAAGAAATACTTATAGAACTCTAGCTCACGCTCAGTGTTTTGCTGTTTGAAAGGTGGAGAAAGAAAAATCTTCTGCTGGTTTTGGTTTGAGGCTTCTTTTGGTTGGTTTGTTTTTGGGTTTGGTGCTGGTGGGTTTTTTAGATGGTTGGTTTGTTTTGGGGTTTTTGGGGATTGTGTGTTTACCCTCAAATCTGCTCAATTCTTGTGCAATACTTGACTTTCAACAAGTCCCCATTTTATTTAATACTTTGGTCCTGCTGACAGAGGCATAAAGCTTAACAGCCTGAGTTTGAGAAGTGATGAGCACCCACAGCTGCCACTGTGTTAAGCACAAGTTGCAAGAATGAGCTCTCTGGAAAGCTCAACTGCAAATGACATATGCAGAAGCATAGCCAGGACAGAGGCCCAGGGACTGTATCTCACACATTGCTTTTTTGTTAGAGAAAACAGGAAACAACCATTTGGCCAGCACAACTGTCTCAATGCCTCTTCCTCTATGTGAACGTGGCCCAGCTGAGACCTTCTTGCCTCCCTGGACCCTCCAGCTGGGGTGGCTCAGGGTGTCTGCAGACACAGAGTCACCACATCCACCCTGATCTGAGGAAAGCCCCACACAGTTACCTTGACTCTGCTTATGCTACAGTGACACTCAGGTCTCTGGTTCTCTAAGTGAAGTTTAAGTCATTAATGACAGCAGCATTTGTCCCTTCTGTGAGGATGGCACAAAGTGCCTGAGCCTTTCATAGGTGCATTACAGCACAGCTGTGTTCCTAGCAGGCTGGCTGGTTCCTTACTGTGCTGCAGAGTTTTGTTATACTCCTTAATCTCAACACAAACAGGTCACTGTCTCAGCAAAGCCTCCAAAACACAACTCAAAGTACACAAATTGAAATAAACCTCCAAAGGAAGGCTGTCCTCATTAACCTCCACAGACTGAATGAGAGACTCTGCACACACTCAGAGCTCCCTGGGCAGATCCTGCATTACATTCAAGTCTCTCAGCACAGCAAGAAGCTGCCAGGTGGCAGAGGTTTAAAGCAGTGGAGTTCAGTACAGCACAAAATGCAGCAAATGTGCATCTGTGAGATGATACTACAAGACCTCTTGCTTCAGCAGCCTTCCACAGTGGTGAACCTTGGTTGCAAAAGAGGTTCATCATTTTCTGATGGATTCAGTCTTACCGGTTTTGCAGCTTGCTCTGCAGATCCTCCAAAATTTCTGTGGATTGTTTATGGTAATCTAGTGCTGCTTCTACAAACACAGCCAACTGGCTGACTTGTTCTACCTGAAATGCAGAGAGGAAAATAGTTGTAAGGAGCCTGCAGTACCTTCTGCTGAAGGATAAACACATAGATCATCCAAAACAGACCTGGTATCTCAAAAGACCATGGTACCTTGTGGAGGCTATTGGAAAAGAGCACATGTGACTCTGTCAAAGAAACTGCCAGTTGGAAACTGGACAAAACTGAGGTGTAACTTCTAGTTCACTAACTCAGGGCTGGCCCCTTGAGTCATTTCCTTTCACAATGTGCAAATCCCTTCTGCTTTCAACTTCCAAGCCAGCTGTCTGTCAACACCCAGGCCCAAAACATTTAAAAGGACATGACCCCTTAGCAGGTGAAAGTGGGGCTTTCTGATCGGCAATGTTGGAAGAAATTACGCTGTGACAGCTCTTATGACTCAGCCCCATTAGTGTTTGCTAGCAATGTTTACAAACTACAGTTCTGAAATGATCTGGACTTACCTCACTAGATGGCAGCATTTATAAACCAATAAATGAAACATGATTTATCTATTTGGATTTTAAAACCATTAGCCAATCATTCAGAAGTATAAATGCTGAGGAAAGGGAGAATATGAAGGAGAAAGAAAAATCAAAATATTTTTATTCATGAGGTAACAAATAATCTCATTCCCCTAACACAAGCTGAGAAGTTCAAGCTGTATGGGGGATAGAGCAGTAACAAGTATTTACTTGTCCTCTTCCTTTAAGACAACATTAAGAAGACAGACCCCAAGAAGTCTGACACTTTTCCATTCCATCATGATGTCTCCAGACATTGGATCACACGAAAATATCTGAGTAAACTTTCTACAAATGTTTTATGGACCCAAGGCAATTTTGTGCTATACTTTGTCTGCTTTTACTCAGTTAGAACGATCATTAGAAATTCTGCCAGGACTCCAAGAGAGCCAAACAGTGTCACACAGCACACAGAAATGAAATGCACAGAACCAAACCAGCAGCTGACACAATTCCATCACAGTCAGAAGAGAGTAATATAAACAGCTGAGGACAACACACAAAGGGCCTGGGGATTGGATGGGGTGTTCAGAGAAAATGGACAGACAAGGACCATCCAAACAAGATGACAACGAGCCAGGAGGAATATGAAATTGTGGATTAGGAGAAGAGAGAGAGACTGGGAAAGAGCCAGAGAAACTCGAGGGACTAAAAGCCACTTAGCAAGATGAGCCTGGGACTGGCTAAGTGGGAAAGGCAGAAGATGGATCTGATAAGAAGTGCATGCAATTGTGTCTATGTGGGAGGTCTGGAACTAGCTGTGCAAAAACCTGAGAGAGAGATGTGAATCAGGATTAAGTCTGGGAAAGGCACCTGGCAAGATGGCTGGGAACCAGAGCTCAGAGGCTGCAGCACAGGGAGACCAAGAGAGGGAGACACTTGGGGAACTGGGAAGGATCGGAAGGAAGCAATTGCAGTTAAGATCTCTGCAAACCCAGTGAGACTGTTTGGGGTTAGACAACGAGGCTGTAATGAGAAGTTTGAGGACGACAGAAAAACTGGGTCAGCATGGGAAATGGAAGGG